CAGAGCCGATGAGGAAAACCCAAGGTGATGGTGGTATTTAGGAATAAACCCGTATTACTCCATGAAAAGCTTGGGACACCACTTAATTTAGAAACCCCCAGTGCCATGAGCAATTGCGTCCAGGCAGAGTCACGTGAGCCTTTCGTGCTCACAGACCCCGGGGAAGGGTCGGGGGCGAGGGGCTGCTCCAGAGACTCCCCCACGGACACCTCGGCAGGTCGCCTTTTTAGTTAAGTCTTGTCCTGTTCTTCTCAGGACAGAGAGCAAACCCACTTGTTTTTAACTGTAAATCATGTTTTAAAAGCCATGATGTTAACACGAGACATCTGAAATGTTACGACGTTGATGTGCATCCACAATAGCTGGATAATTAACGGCGTTGCACAGGGTCCCAGGAGGACTCTGCAGATACTGTTCCGCAGAAGCTATTGTAGCTGTAACACAGAACATCTGCTCCATGGCGGTTTAAAAATTCCATTTTGGTTCCAGCTCTGCTCCCCCCTGAAGTCAAAGGATCGTTTTTTCTCCAGAGTTGAATTAAGCCCTTTGTTTGCTTTCGGTCCTTGAAAATAGAAGAGAAACGGATCACGAGAGCTTTGTTCAGCAGAGACCAAGTTCTGACTGCGGGTGCCCTGCCCGGATAGCCGACTGGCAGGGGATGTGGCTGTGGTTTCCAGGTGACATAAACCTGATCAGAAATACTTTTTCAGGGCACTGTGGGACACCTGGAAACACCAGATAAGGGTTCCAAGGCTTCAGAGCCTTGACAAAGACCTGAGCATCTGCACAAGCCTGGACATATTTGGTAACCCTGTGAGTGGCAGTAGAAAACAACGCCCCAAGCTGATCACTGTTCACAAAGTCATGGAAGTCCCCCAAGTTGGTGAAGTTAATGAAAGCTCACATGACCTTTGTGCTTTTTTTGAAATATTTACTCAAACTCTGTGTCTGCTTGCATGAAGCTGTTTCTAAGAGCGTGCAGAAACACGCCGAGTGCTTCTGGAGCAGGACGCCTGTCCCTGGGCTCGGCCAGCCGGGGGACGACACGGCTTGAGGGTCTAACAAAGATGAAGCCACTGCCTTTCCTCTGATCCTCAGGAACATGTGCTGTAGGAGCAAGAAATGCCAGGGAAGGATTTAGAAACATTGCAGACATACTGGGTTAGTTAACCTATCGTACAGTTACACTGTGGTGGAACCTGAAGGGTTCCCTGTGTATTGGAATGAAATGGCCAGGAAAGAGCAGCAATCACAGCCGAGGAAAGGCATTTGCTAACTCAGAGACAGATAAAACGTCTGCTTTGCTTGAGTAGGGAACACCAGCAATGCACAGCTGGCTGGTAAAAATTATTATCCCAATGCTGCTTCTCCAGCAGAGTGAGTGATGCTCGCTGGCTGCAGCCGCGTCCGCTGTCGGGATCCGTCGTGTGTTTCGCTGCGTAGAGACTAACCATCTGACTGCACGAGCTCTGGACACTGCCCAGCCCCTATCAGACATTGTGAACCGAGCACAGGTGCTGTCTGTCTGCTTCGGGTCCCACAGAAGTGCATCCCAGCTCTCCGTGGAGGAGCAGAACCCTGCCCTGAGGTGTCTCTGCTGCCCAGGTGCTCAGCCTCTGCGACAGCACCTCCGCACCGACGGCCGCTCCCATCCTGCCCGAGGCTGCAGCCGCTGCTCTCTGCCCACACCACGGATCCCCAAATGCTGGGGGAAGGACTAGATTCAGTGTCACAGATCAGGACAAAGATTTTCAGTAAAGCTTAGTTGTAATTACATATTTTTCGCGACTGAATGTGTCCATTAGTGCTTTCCTGGGACGTGACTTGGTCCTTTGCACGCTGCTGCTGTCTGACAGCCCAAGCCGAGGAGGGGGTGGGCTGAGATGCGAGGCCAGAGGCTCAGGCTGATCTCAGCCTTCACACGAACCATCGCTGCTGTCAGCCACACGGTGGCACTTCTATAAAAATCCCTCTGCAAATATTTGTTCTAAATCAGGCTCTTTCCTTTCACCCTGACAGGAGCGCAACCGAGGGCGCTGGTGAAACGCTGGATTGTTTCAAGCTAAATAGCTGCTGAAAGTTGGGGAGTTTGCTGTCTGCCCTGCCTGCACCCCCCTGGGATAATCTCCTCTCGATTTCGTTTCTTTCCTCAAACTCTTTCTCCCCAGGCAGCGAGTTTGGCAAAGGCCAAAGGTTTTCCTCCCCTGGCAGCACACCGCCTTGGCCAGCCCTCCCTGCCCACCGGCGGACAAACCGGGGGCACTGGTGAAGGGAGATGAGGATTTGCCTCTACTAACGGTTGGATTGCTCCCAGTTTCCAGATGCCATCTGTGTGGCGGGATTTGCTCTGCACTAAGAACAGCCTGTGGGCTGAGCTGAGAGAACAGATTGGTGCCCCATTGCAGTCTGGTTCATCGGAGAGCTCTGGGATGCCACGGAGGGAGATGCAGCTTGCTTCCACATCAGGATGCTGCAAGCAGGTTTTATTTCAGTTTTGCTGATGCTCCCTGTTGGCAGCGCTGTCACCTGGGACCCGCAGGACCTCTCGCCCGCGGTTTGCAGGCAGGGTGACAGCAGCTGGCAGGGCTGGGAACCGCCAGTGCTCCGGTCCAGCTGCTCCCTGCCTGGGCTACTGCAGCAAAGGGGCTCTCACTGCCTGTCCCTCTGTCTTTCCTTTCTCTCTTTCCCCAAGCCATGGATGCTGTGAGCAGTTTCAAACCCAGCCCAAGCAACTCCTCTAAGCTCAGCGATATTTCACATTGCAAATCGCCAGGCACAGACCCACGTTCCTCCGGTTGCAGCTCTGCAGCATCCACACACACACGCACGATGCAGAAAGGTCTTTGCAATCCCCCTGACCCTGCAGAGGAACGGCAGAGCTCCAGAGCCTGCGTGAAGGCGTGGAGATCCCTGTCCATCAGCCCTCTCCCGATAAAGCACACTGGAATATTTCACCCTTGCAGTAGTTCCTTCCATCTACGATCCGTACGGTGAGTCTAGCGTGCTGCTTCTGGCTGATTTATTTTTGTGTACAATAAGGATAATAACCTGAAGGTTTAATTCACCTTCTTACACAAAATATGTGAAGTATAACAAAATATTTGGGTTTTTTTTTCCACTAAATATTGCAATTCCTGTGAGTATATCTGCACTAGTCCTCTACAAGCTCTGCTGGCATCCACGTATCCCACGCCACGGGAGAGGACTCGGCAGGCTCAGGGGCTGGAGCTCCTTCTTGTTGTCCTCTTCCTTGAGAACTGCGATTTCAGCCAGCTGAAGAAGCCGCCTCTTGTTTTTAACTCAAACTCTACGGGGAAGTGGTCGCTCACCCCCAGCGCCTGCAAGACAAGGGCACAGAGGGGCTGGGAGCCAGCTGCCTGCGCCCTTCCCAAGCCCATGCCCAGGGGTGGCAGCGAGGGTGGATGCGCAGCCGTGGATGTGGGGAGGTGCAATGGGAGCGTTCCAGCCCTTTGGGAGGGTGCCACAGGTTTATGGACGAGACCACGTCCACAGCCGCCTGGATGCCGTTGGCACTGTGCTCCCAGGTCAGCCCTCGCCCCGCGGCTGCAGAGGCCATGCGGCGCCTACCTGCTCCTCGGTCATCTGAAAGGCCTTCTGGAAATCAAAGACGGTGACAGAGTTTGGCACGATGGCTTGGATGAGCTTCTGCCCGCTGACCACAATCCTGCAAGGAGCGAGGGAACGGGGTGTTCTCACAGGGCACCGAGCTGCACCCAGCGGCCAGGGGGGTGGCCTTGGTGGGGTCACAGTGACACAGCGTGTGTCCTTTCCCATGGGCTTAGAGGTGCCAGCACCCGCTTTCTGCTGGGCTGGGCTGGTTGCTGTCCTTGGGAAAGAAACACCTGAGCACCTTGCGTTGGCCTTGGAAGCCAACGGTGAATGACTCGCATCCAAACCCACTCCAGCAGTGCTGCCAAGTTCAAAGCCATACTTTGGGTACAAAAACCACAGGACACCAATGACTGGCGTCCCAGTGAGGTCCTGCTCTGATCCCAAAGCTTGTTCTGCAAGCGGTTTAAGGCTTGACTTACTCTGGGCTCTCCTAAGCTGATGTCTGTATCGTCCTGCCGAGGGAGCGGCCCGTAGCAGCAGGGGAAGGTGAGGGGTCCCAGCTCCGGAGCAGGACCACACTCTGCATTTGGCAATCCGAGTTAGGAACGCAAGAGCTGGCGTGGAGGAGGCAGCAGTGCCTTCTGCCTGGGCGGCTGCAGGGCTCTGCAGGCACGAGCGCTGTGCAGTGCCCAGCATTTACCTCCACCTCAGCCACGGCAACGGCTGGTTCTTGCATGAAATCTTGCCCTTTCTGCAAAACTGCTTGCCACCAGCCTGCCAAGTGCTCTGTGCTCCTGCCTAGAAGGGCTCAGAGCTCGTTTCCCCCAGACGCTGATTTATCTTTGAAGGCCTTGTGCACGTTTGTTTTATCTGACATTCACTGACACCTTTCCCTATATTTTTTTTTTTTTTCCCAGAGAGTCACAAAGAGGGACTGGTTTGGCAGTGGACCTCTCACCTGTCGTACGGGCAGCTTGTGCTGTTCTTCACTGTTGTGTCATTTTTGTCGTCAATGAGCCAGACGAACTCTGAGTGAGTCCTCAGCCGGATGTTCTTCCACTGCTTCTGGGGAACGTAGCTACACCCAGCATTAAAGTCCCCCATGAAGATGAAGTTCTGGAAAGCAGGAGGGTTTTCAAAAGCATTTACGAGGACAGTTCTTCAAAGAAAGAGCAGCGAGGACCGTCAGGGTCAAGGGATGCTCCCAATAGCCCTCCCAGTTCAAAGAGTGGGAGCCCACTGGGGGCGCTGGGGCTTCTCCTCTCTGCTGGGCACACCACCAAAGCAAGCCGATAAAGCAGCAGTTTTGTTAGGAGATCAAGTTTACTGATTAAAATGTAGAGAACTCAATGAAAATGCAAGAGAAACTCAAAACCTGGGGCTTGTTATCAAGGGTTTAATGTCACCAGGCGGTGAGCAGCGTGCCAGGTGACTGCATCCCACAGATGCTGCTATTGGTGTAGATGTGGCCACCAACCTCGGTTTTCCAGCGCTGTTTTATGTCTAAATACACGTCATAGAGCTCATCAATCTCCCGCACTGCTGTCTCCGGCGTGGTGTGCAGAGGGACCATGACAAACTCTTTGACAGCTGAAAAACAAGGTGAAAGAACAGGGAAAAAACGTACTGGTTAAACACAGCACAGATCCCAAAGAAACAGATGGCGTGGAAGCCAGGAGGGTTTTCTGAAGCAGAACCAGCTTCTGTTCTGGCTGTGGATCGCAGGCGTTTGCTGGGTGACTGCAGAGGGTCCCCAGCAGCTGCCCAGCCCAGCCTGAGCCGTGCCGTGGTGAGGTGCTGTGCAAACCTGCTCCCGCACCCATGGCAGCACGCAGCCCACCGGCCAAACCACCCCCGTGGCAGCGGCGGAGGCTCTCCCAGGGCTGTGGTGTGCTCTGAGCTCTGGGTGACACTGGAGGCAGCAGCCCCAAGGGCGAAATGCTGCTTTTGCAAGGAAATGCAGTGTGGGGGCAGGATGCGGCCCCTTTTGCCTGCGCTTGGGTCCACCCAGCGCTGTCTTGCTTCATGAGACTCGCCAGTGGGAGGATGGTTTGTTTCTGAAACATCTCACCAGTTTTTGGAGACCGGAACCAGACGATGAAGGGCTCTCTGGAGAAGACATCCGTGTCCCCAGGCTGGGTGTCTGGGTACTGGTAGGTTTGTTTCACCGACACCAGCTGTTGCCTGCAGCAGAATGAACAGGACAGGGGATGCCACACTCCTGGCTCGCCGGGATGTGCCGAACACTGACCCTGT